TTCTACCCGGAAAAGCTCACCGGAAGCGCTGGCGCCATCTTTTTTTGATGAAAAAGTGCTTCCGGTGAGGTCACCAGAAGCACTTTTTCATCAAAAAAAGATGGCGGCGCCCAGCTAATGCCAGTACCGGGCCGTGCCATAAAAAGGTTGGGGATACCGGGCCGCGGCGTAAAAAAGGTTGGGGATCACTGCTCTAAGGAGCATGACTTGAAAACAGAAAGAGTTTGGAAGGCTTTGGGATATTCCAGAGACAGAAGAGAGTGCTGAGAAATGCATTGGAAAAACTCTATGGTTGTGAAGGAATCCAGTTGTCTTGGAACTGAAGGAGTTATAAGAAGTAGCAGAACTTTGGTCTTGTGCCTTGCTTAATGCATTGTGTGGGTGACCACATCCTTCACATCAGGATCACTGGCATAGGTTACACAGCTTCTTTGACTCAGTGTCCATGCTCATGTTTGAGTGATTTTCTTGTGCATTAAATACTAAAAGAAATTATAGACTGTAGTGGAAAGTAGGGTAGAAGGATCTCATACCTCTCCTCCCAAGACTTCCAGATCTTTGCATGCTGGCCCAACCCCTTGCACTGGGACAGTGGCCACAACATATCTTCAAGAGGCCACTTCATATGGACTCCACTCCCTCACTTCAAGTGGTGGGAGAGAGAGAGCTCTCAGAACCCGTGTTGATCTTTTTTGGCAATTAAAAGGGCAAAAAGTAAACAATAAAAATATATCCCTGATATAACCCTCATATAACATAGAAGTGTATGAGGAGAGGTTTTAGCCCTTCTGCCCTTTCATAAACAAAGTGAACAAAAGACAATGTAATGCTCCAAGTAGACTTGAAAATGCTGCTGCAATGCACGAGCATACGAGGCAGGAGAGGATGCAGACTCTCAGAAGGTTATAAATAATATCTTCCTATCTAGCCAGAAGGAGGGAATGAAAGGCTAAAATGGCATGATCAATTATTCTCTTAGTTATGGAGAAGAATTTTAGACCTGACTTAATGTCACACAAGAAAAAAAATCCAATCTAACCCTTGTAAGAACAAATTTACATGGAGCTGAAATAGGCTGATTTTTGGGTTAATCTTCACATTTTCTATTTTTGAAATACTTTGGTTAAGAGAATATAAGAACAGCAGCTTCTCTTCCTTATGTATTTCATATAAATTCTGCTTTACAATAAAATTTAGATAATTTTGAACAAGCCAAGAATATCTGCACTTCAATTGAAACTTACTTACATATCCTTGGCACATATTATTTAATACAATATCCACGAAGAATTGGGAACACAAGAATTGGGAATTCTTACATAAGGGAAGAAAACAGAAGTAGAAGAAAATAACATTAAGAGTTCAGTGCCAGAATCTAAAAACTTTCAGATATCCAAATAAGAAATTTAAAACCAGAAGTAAAACAAAATTTAAAACCAGAAGTAAAACATCCGTATGTCTTTATTTAAGTTTTGTTTTCTCAAAGAAACCAACTGTCTGAGAAAAAAGCACAGGCTTATAAGCAAATTGATCTTATCTTATTGTCCTGATGCTATAAATTCGAGAGGCTCAGAAAATTCAGATGTAAAAAAATCGCAATCTGTGCAACAAGTATTACAAAAACCCTTTTCAATTATTTATCCATAGTTACATCCCCAAATTACAAACGGAAGAGAAAAAGATTTGACATCAAACCTTTGGAAAAAATAATTGTATTTATTGTCTTCTGAGATATCCAGTGTCCGAAGAGGACCTGTGTGCATGTTTCTCTACTGGCGATTAGGGGACTTTACAACAGACTCGGAAGTCATAATAATTAACACTTGGAACTTTATGGGAGGACAAAAGTTGTGTTGAGCCAACGTAGTATCCAACCTCCTCCATACAGCAATGCAAACATGCCCCAAAATAACAAACCTCAAATTCCAAATTCAGGTTTACAAGGAAAAAAAAAGCCTCCCCACCCCCATGTTAAACACCAGGCATACTTATTTGCTGCTCTCTTACTTTCTAAATTAGTATGGCTCAGTATACCCATACAATTGCCTTGCATTCTTCCCTCACATTACCCCAATTTTTAAATCCTAACTTATAGTGCATCGAGAATGTTGTCAATTTTGCTGATCAACTCTTGACGCCTGCTGGAATGGATCTTATCATTCTCTATGTACGTATCCTTCTTAAGTTTGCCAACAACCAGACGCTCGGCCTCCAAAGATGATTTTACAACCAGCTCCTTGACTTGACTATCCAGCTTCTGTATTTCGCTGACCTTGAAAGAGTTTGGGACAGAATGTTAGGAATGCAACAACACAGTCACAACTTTAAAAGCAATACTACTTTAAAAAAATAGAAACATGTTTTTTATAAAAACATTTTCCCCCAATTATTATGTGTAATGCTATTTAAGGTTTCCTTTTTTGGTCAGTAGCAAATTCAAATGGCAGAAAACACACTGGCCTAAATTCTCCCAAACTTCACCTTCCCATTGTCAACTGCAGTGAGCCAACACTTTGTCCTTTCCTGTTGAAAAGTGCTTGTAGGACTGACTTTACTTACTCACACTTTGACCAAAAAGTGGATTATGGTGCAAGCTGTCATTACAGATCTTTTCATTAAAAGTATGAAATCTTAACAAGTATTTATTTACATGCATAGTTGATGGGAGAAATTATGTGTTTATTCAAATAGACACTTAGGGTCATTACCACTTTTTGAAGCTGTTGCATTTCATTTCATGACTTAACTATTTTAATTCCCTATAACTGTATGTTTAGCCTATAGAAAATCTTTCATTTCTAGCACTGATGCTGCTGAAGAAATTATAACCAAAAAGTATGATACAGCAAGAGAAGTGACTTGGATATTGCTCAGGGGGCATTACAATACTGCTAGTCATACATTTCCTTTAAGAGCTGTGGTGGCGCAGTGGTTAGAATGCAGTACTGCAGGCTAATTCTGTTCACCGCCTCAAGGTTGACTCAGCCTTCCATCCTTCCAAGGTGGGTAAAATGAGGACCCAGATTGTTGAGGGCAATATACTGACTCTGTAAACTGCTTAGAGAGGGCTGCAAAGCACTATGAAGTAGTATATAAGTCTAAGTCTAGGGTGTCAAACTCGCATTGTCACGTAATATATTGGGACTTTTTTCCCCTTCACTAAACTGGGCATGGCCAGCACGTGATGCATTCGGCCCACGGGCCACAAGTTTGACAGCCTTGTTCTAAGTGCTATTGCTATTAACTGAAGGAAGACTTGCTGGAATTAAGTGATATAGTCAAGTCAAAGTGTCTTAGTCAGTTAAAGATACTAGTTAAAATACAGATGGTCTTAGATTTACAACCATTCATTTAGTGATTGTTAGAAGTTATGATGGTGCTGAAAGAAGTGACTCAACTGTTTCTCGCGCTTACAAAAGTCACACTGTCCCAGTAGTCATGTGACCAAAATCTGGATACTTGGCAATTGATATGTATACACAACGGTTGCAGTATCCCAGGGTCATGTGAGAGCCATCTGCTACCCTCCCAGCCAGCTTCTAACAAATTTCTTTTGAAACTTGGCTCGAAGCTCATGAATTAATTAGGGCATCCATCGGAACCCTGACACAGTGTCAATGAGAGATGACAGCTGTTCTTAATGACATTAATCCACTTAACTTAACCAGGGCGATATTACCTCCCAGGGGGCGATTTCATTTTTTAGGGGGGCGATGGAACCAAAAGGGGCGACACTGGGGCGAAGGAACGGAAGTGGGGTGATGGAGCGAGAAGTTTTGGGGAAACTTTGAGACTTTTTTCGTACAGTGAACTGCTGTATATCTGTCGTATAAAAACATCAGATCCCTTGCTATTAGTGGATTGAACTGTTTTAAAATGTTCCTCTAGCTAGCTTCAGTACAGAACGCCGTAGATATTTGAATACGCATTGCTCATCTTCATGCGCGTTGCACAGCAGCCTCTATCACTCTACCTATTAAATTTGTCGCTCTGATTTTTTTGTTGATTTCCTTCTATAAAATTTTTCTTTGTGTCTTTTTAATCCTTTTTACAGTGTGCATGAATATATATTTTCCTCAAATCTTAATTTAGTTTCAGAGTTTTCATCTTGAAATTCTTAGTTCCTGCATTGCAGTTTGTTCTTATGCCCTTTTTATATTTCTTTTTGCGTCTTAAAATTTACTTGTAATTAAATCATTAAATGCTACTGTTTTTTTCGGGCATTTCATTTTCTTGCAATTGAATTTTGTTTTCAGTGATCATTGCATTTAAGTGTCTTGAATAAATAAGATAATAATGATATACATGTATCACGAAGTTTGGGAGTAAAGTGATGGGTGGCATCAGAATTTTTCACAGTTGAGATATGGGGAAAAGACTGGAAATAAATTATTTGCATCGATATGTCCTGATGACAATTTTAAAGAAAACAAAAAACGTGTTTGCATAAATTGAAGAAATATTTCCCTGTGTTGTGATTGAGAGGTTATGTTGGGGAAGGGGGACAATGATAACTTCCTCAATGGCTCAAGGGGGCAATTCTTTCAAAAAGGTTAAGAACCACTGCACTTAACAACTGCTAAAAAATGGTCATAAAATCAGGCTTGACTGAAGGCAACACATGAAGCTATGTCAAAATTAGATATTTCAGCTTTTTCTCTAGACTTCAAAAACCTAAAAGATGCATGATTGGATTTCAGTATTAACAGACTCTTACTTTGTCACATAGGTCAGAACCTTCCATCTTCAACTTGGATTGCAATGAGGCTATTTCATTTGTTAAGGCTTTATGTTCAACTTCCAGAGACTTTTTGCCACTATTCAGAGTAGAAATATCGCGTGACTGCTTGTACTTATTCACAGCTTCATCAAAAAGGCGGTAAAGACATAGTCTCTTATTCACTCCAGTTAGAACTTGCTCTGTAATGCAAGCAACTTTCATCCTAGCTTCTGCTGCTGGATCCTGCAAGACAACAGTGCTTTACATGGGAAAAATTTTAAGATTCCTATATTGCATTTCACATCTTATGTATTTAAAACATTTGTATATCTTAAAACCAAACTCTGACCCAACAATATGTACAATTAAAACAAAAAGCAATAAAATTTAAAAAAAAGGAAGAAAATAGAAAAATCTGGTGCTGCAACTCCATGTCACTGATACTATCTATCACATTCTCCTCCCATTATGACTTCATATTTCAGCACTTGGGGGGGGGGGAGCCAGGTTTTGCATGTTCCCTGGAAGGTTAAAGGGAGGGGAAGGAGGGACGGCTGTTGAATCTCCAAGAAGGTGCTTGATAGGTGAATGTTTTGTTAAAATTGAGTCAAAGTTAACAAGGCTAGAGTTGAAAAACATTTTTAATTACCACAACCTGAAGATAAAGAGCTTATATTAAACTGTCCAGTTTTGTATCTGGTCAGATTTTTGAAAAATGTAATATTAACCTTTACAGCAATATAGATAATTGCTGATTAATTTCATTTGTTTAGACAAATAATTGTCTACATTAAGAAGCATTGAATATTAGCTTTCCATGGAACAGCCTGTGTGCTCATTTTTAGTTTGCGTATAAAAAAGCAGATCAGGTACAACAAAATTAACGCAAAAAAAAATCTAATACCCAAATAAAAGGTTATCCTATGAAATAGTGACTCCATCTTCTCTCAAAATTATATTGTGATACCTTAGTGATGGAGAAATCCAACCTCACATACAGAATCACTGTAAAGAATAGGATGTAGAATGCTCCAACTACCAGCAGAGGTTCTTGCAACATCAGGATTTTATTAAAGGTGTAATGTACCTGGAAAAAGACAAGTAGTAAGGAACAAGGAAAATTTATTACACATTTCCCTACCCGATTTACAACCATACTATCTCAGTATTTTTTAATTAATCATCCACTAATGTTTTTTTGTTATTGCCATGACACATTTAATACTAAATTTACAGCAATTTGGGCTCAAAGAATGAGAAACTCTTTTAATGCTTTACATGAACCAAGTAAAGAATTTGTTTTTACCACAATATCTTGGATATGTTGTTCAACTAGGTTACTCTTATGTGCCACAATGACTGGACGGCCAAATGTATCAAGATAGGTATAGTGAAGTTCATCAGGAGCCCGGCTGATATCATATGGACTGTCCACATGAATATTTCTGCAGACAACAGGATGGAAAAATGTCAAAGATACTCTGGGGAAAAAAATATCTAAAGATATGTAACGGTTAGGGCTAGATGATTAACATATGTCATAGCTTGCATGTACAGTGCATTCAGAAAGTATTCAGACCCCCTTCACTTTTGTCAATTTTGTTATGCTGCAGTCTGATTTTACAGTTGTTGAAATTCATTTTTCCTCTCATTAATCTACATTCAGCACCACCTAATGACAAAGTGAAAACAGAATTTTAGAAATGTCTGTAAATTTATTAAAAAGAAAAAATGAAATATCACATCAGCATAAGTCTTCAGCTCCTTTGCAAGAACACCCCAATCCAGGTGTGCAAATCTTGTCAAGTCTCAAAAAGACTTGAGGCTACAATTGCTGCCAAAGGTGCTTTAACACAGTACTAATTGAAAGGTCTGAATACTTATGCCAATGTGATATTTCAATTTTTCCCCTTTTTAATAAACTTATAGACATTTCTAAAATTTTGTTTTCATTTTGTCATTATGGTGTACTGAGCATAGATTAATGAAAAAAAATGGATTTCAACAACAATGAAATTCAATTTTGTCAATTCAAAATTGACAAAAATGAAGGGGGTCTGAATACTTTCTGAATGCGCTGCAAGTACTGAAATTAACTGATTTATTTAAAAAAATGTTCCACAAGTATACCCCAGGAACTACATTTTATGAGAGACAAACTAACAGCACAGAGGTTCATGGATTGACAGATCATCAACCATGTTGTACTTACTTGGCACCCTCTGGAAGAATAATCTTTACAGTTAACGAGTCTGTAACTTGCTCATCGAAAACATGGTCAATAAATCTCATCTTCAGAGCATACTGATCACCTTGAAAAGATTAACAAGCACTGTAAACTTTTCCTTTTTTATAATGGCAGCAGGAAAGATCTAGTTGTATAAAATATCAATGTAACATTTTTACATTAAGACACTAAGCACCACTAGAAATGATTATGTGTACATAGATTCAATGACAAATTGTAAGAGATTCACACAACAATAAAAGATGCCAATTCTGCATTCAACGTAAGCTATCGAACACACACTAACCTTCCCAAAACATAATAATTCTGGGTATATTGTGCAAGAGGAAAAATGGATGTCCTGGTTCCCTCTACTAAGGAGGCCCATGTACTAGGTCAAGAAAGATCTTCTCCATGGTGTCTCCCTCCCTGTGGAACATCATTCCTAAGTAAATAAGACTGACCCCCACCTTTATACCTTCTTTAAAAGCCTCAAAGACATGACTTTGCCAATGGGATTGGGTTCCCCAGAGTGGAACCCATCAAGTGCTTTCATTATTGTCACCAGGGGGTAAGGTTTTATTGCTTTTTGTATGTGGTGTTTTACTTCTGTTGGCCTGAATAAGTTGAGTGGCCATGCAAACTTTCTTAATAAATAAACAAAAAAACTGAAGAAATGAAAACTTCAGTAGATGGAACATTAAACTTTGAAAAGACTGCAAGCAATGTTTTCAGTTACTTTTTAGATATTGCTTCCAATATCAGTAAAATAAACTCAAAACAAATCTTTGAAATATATACGCAATACAAAAATCAAGAAAACAATTCATATACTTGAAAATCTCCAGTGTGCCTCTATCTCATCATAAATACAGAAATAGAATAGTTTTATACTGGGACTGTTTCATTATATATAAACAATTTCCAGTGGCTAATAATCTGATATGACTGCCTACCAAGATTAAAGAGATATTCATAGCTGGGCAAATTGTAGCCAATTATATAGTGTGTCTTCCAACCACCAAACAAAGGGAAACGAGGGCGAATCTCCATTTCCACTGAGTCATCCAAGACAAGAAGATGACTGGTAGATATGTTGCCAATTTCATCTCTGTAATACACATCTTGAGCAGCAGCAGGAAGGATCGTCTGCAAAAGAGTTTTAGTAAGACCGATAAGGACAGAGATATAAAATAAATCTAATCTAATTTATCGTATTTATATAGCTGTCCATCAAATATTTATTGGGTACTTGCAGATTAACTAAAACAACTAAAATGCAGCATGTATTTTTCTTCTAAAACACATAACACCAGCAATTCAGATTAAGTTAAAGTAAAATATTGTGAATTCAAAAGAACTTTAAAAGCCTGAAGAAAAAAAAAATATTTATCAGATGCCAAGAAGCATCAAGTGAGTTTACCCAGGGAGATTCTTCCATGGCTGGGGCATCAACACAGAGAAGGTTATAATAGGTTAAGAGCAAGAAAGACTGCCTTATATGTTTTCCCATTTGAGGAATTGGCTGGACCCACTAAATCAGTGGTCCCCAACCTTTTTTGTACCAGGGACCGGTTTCAAGCAGAAAATTTTTTCAAGGACCGGG